CTATTATAGTTTATATATATATATTCTTTATACTTAGTTTATCAATTATTGACGGTTTGTAAGCCCGTGCTATTACTTTGGCGCCCTCTGTCGGTCATGTCATGTAAAGGTCTTATGTGCTGGTGTATAATCTTGATTGAAACACTGTTGAATGCAATGTTTTACATGTTATAGTTAACCTAAGTCTTGTTGGATCTCTGCAATAAAGTTCTGATACAACAGAACAGGCAGAAACACAGGATTTGAAGAAAGATGAGCATTTTTTCCTGTGTTTTCTCCTCTACAGGTGGATGTTTTGAGAGCCCTTGGAGCCGAGATTGTCCGCACTCCCACCAGCGCTCGCTTCGATTCACCTGAGTCTCACGTGGGCGTAGCCTGGCGCCTTAAAAACGAGATCCCCGACTCTCACATCCTGGACCAGTACCGTAACCCGAGCAATCCTCTGGCTCACTACGACACCACAGCTGAGGAGATCCTGGAGCAGTGTGACGGTACGAAGATCATAAAATGTTAAAGAAGATGATAACAATTTGACTTTCCAGCTTTGATTTTGCATAAAACTGAAATATTGAAATCTACAGTGAATAAAAGTGTTTATACCTTTTAATTTAGTTGCTTTTGTCCAAGTATATAAGACCATGTATATTTCACTTTCCCTCTGAACAGGTAAAGTGGACATGCTGGTGGCAGGAGCCGGCACAGGAGGGACAATCACAGGCATCGCCCGCAAACTGAAGGAAAGATGCCCAAACATCAAAGTAAGTTGTCCCAATCACTGTTTTCTTTCCAAATAGCGAAGTTATCCTGGTTATTTTCATACTAACTCTCTGCTGAGTTCCTCGTTGTTCATGAACGGTGTGTGTCGTGTGCAGATTGTCGGTGTCGACCCAGAAGGCTCCATCCTGGCGGAGCCCGACCAGCTTAACAAGACCGATAAGACCCAGTACGAGGTGGAGGGCATCGGGTACGACTTCATCCCCACCGTGCTCGACAGATCAGTGAGTTCCAGCCTTCTTTTCTTGCCTCCCTGTTTCTAATATTAACTCGCAGCCGCTTCATTTAATATGTCTTTATTTGTTTTTTCAGGTAATTGATACCTGGTACAAGTCAGACGATGAGGAGTCCTTCAACATGTCTCGCATGCTGATCAGAGAGGAGGGCCTGCTGTGCGGTAAGTTCCCGCAAACACAACCACCACACGTATGAGTGAGGTTGTCTTCTTTAAACCTGTGATTTAAATCCAACTCACCTTTTGCTCTCTCTGTAACAGGAGGCAGCTCTGGGACGGCCATGGCAGCAGCGGTAAATGTCGCCAAAGAGCTAAAAGAGGGCCAGCGCTGTGTGGTCATCCTGCCAGACTCCATCCGCAACTACATGTGAGAATCCACACACGTCCAGTAACCGGACAGTCTATTTCTGTACCGTCAAACAACTGTGAATAATGAAGCTGTGAAGATTTTACTGGAATATTCAGTGACGTTTACACAAACCCTAAAATAAAGCAGCAGTAATGAGTTTCTGTGACGACTAGGGGTAGAAAGACCAAAACAAACAGAGACAGCAAAATGGAGCACTTTGTGTTGATTGCTCTAAAGTGATTGAGCTGTAAAAAAGCTTATCCTATCATTTTTATTCACTTCTAGCGCCCCAAAGTGGTCAATTAAGGTATCAACAAGTCTTTTATCTTTTTTTTTTTTCTCCTCAAGGTCAAAGTTCCTCAGTGACAAGTGGATGGTCCAGAAGGGCTTCCTGAGCGAGGAGGACCTCATGGTGAAAAAACCATGGTATGTGTAATTAAAGGCCACATTCTGCTCTTTGTGCAAACCTCCTCACACGTGCGGTTGTGTGAAGACCCTCTGGTTTCTCTCCGTCCTTCAGGTGGTGGAACCTGAGGCTGCAGGGGTTGAACCTGTCCGCCCCCCTCACCGTCCTGCCCACTGTCACCTGCCAGAAGACCATCAAAATCCTGAAGGAGAAGGGCTTCGACCAGGCACCCGTGGTGGATGAGGCTGGGTGAGTGTAGCTAACGTTCATGCTGAGATACTGCGTGTCTCCACTGTGTTTTATTGTTGTACCTTTAACTCCGTCCTCTCTCTGTGTGTGTACAGGTTAATCCTGGGCATGGTGACTTTAGGGAACATGTTGGCCTCCGTTCTGGCGGGGAAGATCAAGCTGTCAGACCCGGTCAGCAAAGTGCTCTACAAGCAGTTCAAACAGGTCAGACACTAATTTAATCCTCTCTATTTGTGGCTCTTGTACTAAACGTGAAAGTGATGCTCTCTGGGAAGGTTTCCTGAATAAATTCTGGGTTTTAGGTTGAATTTGTTAAATTATTTTCAAGACTAAATCCTTAATTCTGATTGGCTGACAGTAGCAGCCAATGAGACAAACCAGTTCAGGGGAGGATTTCCAGATAAAAAACCTGTTTATTAGTTTGACAAGACGAGGTCCACTGTAATGTTTTCACTGCCTTTGGAACAAAATGGATTGTAAACCAAAGCCCATAATTTCCTTCAGCCAAGCAGCTTTAAATCAAAACATCCAACTGTTTTATGACTTTGTGGACGATCCAGAAGTATTTGCGTCCAATTTTCTTTTTTTTCCCTCCCTTTTTTATAAAGTGTGGACTGTAGTTAATCTACAGGTCTCACTTAATCCCTTCCCCCGTCAGTAAATGTACCAGAATTAAATGATTGGCTCTTTGCACAGACTCAATACATCATATGCCACTTGTGCTTTCAATTTAATATCACTTTGTTTTATGTATTGTTGTAAGTTATTGTCTTATTGTGATCCTTAGATCCGTCTGACTGATAATTTGGGAAAGTTATCTCGTATTCTGGAGACTGACCACTTTGCCCTGGTGGTGCATGAACAGATCCAATGTAAGTACAACAGTCAGTCACAAACACACTCGTCATTCTTTAATGTGCTCTCCTTTGCTCCAAGTCCATCTCTCTTTAGCTCCAAAACCCGATAAACTTAGCGTCTGTGAAAACTACACATTTATAGCATTTGACTTCTTTTATTTACGGCACGTGTTCACATTTTATCACAGCCCAGACTAACAGTTTACACCTGCAGGGTTGGTGTCTTTCTAAAGGACACACTGTCGACTGCTGCAGTTCAAATGTGAACCCGAGACCCTGTCACACCCACATTTTTATGATGACATTGGTCTTGCTCAGTGGGTCAAGTTGCCACTGATCATTCCTCTCTGATACACAAGTGTCAAAGTCCAACTGCAGAGCGAGCACCCCAAGGTGAAACTGGATCTGGACAGCGTTGCCCTGTTGTGGTGGAGAATTTGGCAAAAACACACACATTGACTGGATTTTTGTGATTTTTTTTTAATCTAGTTTCATACAAACATCCAATGTCATCTTTATGTGGGGAAAAGTAGAGAAACTACAAAGCAGAAACTCTCTCAAGACAGTTACATAATGAAGATATACATAATTTAAACGGCATCCAAATGAGGACGACTTTGTTATTCGGGTGTTTCAGTGGTTGTTTTAAAATAGGAAATGAGCAAACATCCTCTTGACTTTAACATAAAGTGACTTCATCACCCAGAGTTTACTGAATCCATTCTCAACCTGCAGAGTTCATAAGCATTTCCTCTTCCTTTCAGCATGTGCACTACAATAACCCTTGTTAGGTGACATAGGAGCAGTGTCACAGACTGACCTTTTAAGTGTTGCGCAATCAACTTTATGAACCCACTGGCCGAGTTTGATTTTGTTTAGGCGGCACAAAAAGACTTTTACGTAACAGTAAACCAGCAGACAGAAGCTGGCACAATGTGGCACTGGCAGCAGTAGACAACCTCCGTATATGGGTAGTTTAAACTATTTGTTTCTCCTCCAGAAGTGTGTTTTCCTTATGTTTATGTTCCCTAACATGTCAGATCTTTCCTTTACTGACTTGTATCTGCAAGGTTTGTTGTTGTTGCTCATGTATTAATGTTGGCTGTACAGCTTGTTCCACTGCCACCAAGTGGTCAGAAACAATTTCCAGTTGCGTAAGATGCCTAAAGGCTGTCGACTCGTGTACATTTTGAGTCCAACTGTAAGAGCTGCACTACCTACACACACCAGCCACTTTTTATCTGTTTCATCATCTCGGTCGCTCTCTTCTTCCACCAGACTTGACAGACGGCACTCCCAGTCTGAAGCAGATGGTGTTCGGGGTGGTGACGGCCGTCGACTTGCTCAACTTCGTCACGGTCCGGGAAAGGCGAGAGAGGTCCATGTCGGAGTCCACCGACGAGCTCAACTAACACACGCAGTACACGCTTTGTACATTTCTCTGCACTTACGTAACAAACGCAAAGGACAGCTGTAGCAGACGCAAAATGGCAAAATAATAATCTTTTGATTTGAGTTAGGTCTTTTTTTTTTTTCTCCACTTAAAAATACTGATTTTTTTTTTTTTTTAAAGATTTAATAAGCAAACTAATGTTGCTTATGTCAAGTGTGAGAGGGTTTACTTATTATTTGAAAACGACTGACTTAATATTACTCAAGCCAAATCTTGTGTCCGTTTGTAACTTGTAGAAAGCTTTTTTGTTTTGTATCACAGTCTTAAATAGAGGCCTCCATGTTGCTGCTTTACTCATCTGAAAAGTACATGATTATTTCTCAGTGCCTTTTGTGTCAGTCAAACATCAGAAATAAGGCATAAAATATTAAAAATCTCATCCATCAAGATTAGACAAATAGAAAGTTGCTGTATATAAGCATGTTATTCTTCCCAGTGCTGCTGATTACATGCTGCTTTTTCATTTGTGTATTTGTACACAGAAAAGAAACACATGGTGTGTAATCAAATTTCTTGAAAAAAAAAAAGTAGTGAGCTGTTGTTTCTCTCTCCTTTCAGCACAGTGACCTGTGATGTATCTGTAAAGTTGTTTGGACTATTTAATCTTAGCTGTGTCAGAGAGAAACCTTTTGTATTGCATAATTTTTCCTTAATGAATGTGTATGATTTAAATAAAGTTTAAATGAAGTCTGACTGTTTGCCTAGTTCTTATCTTACCCTCAGTGCTGAAGGGCGAGGAGATAAAATATGAGGTCCGATAAGGTTAAGAATGCTTTTATTTATATACATTTTACATTTAAGTACTATTTTAATTAAAGTGTGTTGGAAATTTAAAATGTATAAAAATATAAATTGACATATTTAGCTTTCAGTAGTTTTTATTTTCACATTAGGTTACACTTCCTGTCCTAATCCATTTAAGGTGAACCATAATTTCAGATAAATATTTAAGTTTACATAGTGTACCTAAACGCAACCTGACAATTATATCCATTTTAATCGTGTCATTTTATAAATATGAGTACAATTAAAGTAAAATAGTAATGATAGTCGTATTGGTTAATTAATATTTATGTAGTACGCAGTCTTTCTTAACAGCAGAGAAACTCTCCACTAACTTAATTAATCATTTTTCCAATTTTATACGCCGGGACGTGAACGCGAACATCCCCAGTCATTAAAGCGCTATGTTTGTGTCTGCCATGTGGTTTGTGACGCACGTAATGACCCACTCTTAACACCGTGTGGGCGGGGCTTCACTCAAACACAATCTGCTTTAATCGCGGCGCTCAGACTCCGCCCCGAGCAGCTCTCCCTCCGGTGCGCGCCGCGTTAGTAAAGCAGCGACCTCCTGTGCGTTGGCAGCGACCAATCAGCGCTGTCCGCCGGAGCCGTTGGAGCCGTTGACCGTGGCGGTGTACGCGTTGTGTGGCGGATGCTACGCGGAAGGATAGACAGGCAGTATGGCGGAGGAGGGCAGTGTGTGCGAGTTAGAGCGGCTCAAAACGCAACTACACAGCCTGCTGCGCCGCTACGCAAGCGATGAGCTGCGGGGCGACGGCAAACCGTTCTGCTCGGACTTTCGCAAGGTAAGAAAGCCGCATCCGGAGCCGCTGACAGGCGTTGTTGTCGAAGATAAGAGCGGTGATGTGTGAGCCGACTCCCCTCCCCCAGAACTGGCCGCTACACCGCGACCGTTAGCATCCAGCTAACGAGTCCCAGTCGCTTTAAAACACACACGCGTCGCCGTGAGCCGTGTGAAACACCTGGCCCGACATCTGGACACCTGTGTTCAGGTGTTGTGGCGGCAGAGCCCGTCGCTGTGTGTCTGTGTGTTTTCACTATGCTTGCTCACTCTGCTGCGGGCGAGCTAACTCTGCTAATCGCTGCCCAGCTAGCACAGATTTTGCTTGCAACTTGGTTTAGTTGCTCCGCTGCTTGTTTGTCAAACCCACTGGGCAACTTTTTGCCCCCTTTCACAACACGTTTGGGGGCACTTGGTTAACCTCTAATGTCAGGTTGCCATGGGATTATTAATCTGCATTATCAGGGTTTTTCCGTAAAGAGTAGAATAGTTTCCTGTTGATAAATCCAAGATCTAAACATTAATATATCTTTAATATATCTTTAATATATCATTAATATATCTCTTTATCTGTGTGTGGAGCACGAAGCGACTGCAACCTGTCATTATAATGTACATTAACTTTACTCGTGTTTATTCTGCTACTGGGATATTGGCATGCTATTTTAAAAAAAAAGCTTAAATTAAAGCATTAACTCAACATGAAAACACAGTTTTAGCACGCCAGGCGTTAAAGTAGATTTATATTAGTGTTTTAAATCGCTTAAACTGGAGTTGCGTTGCTTCACAAGTTGCTCCAGTTTCTGTCTGATTGGACAATGAGAAGATCATTGTTGACAGTGGATCTCCACCGTTAGAGGGCAACAAAAGCTCTGTTAAATGTGAGATTATTATTATTATTATTATTATTACAAGACAGAAAATAAGACATTTAAACGGTTATCTGAATAGATGTGGATTATATTTCACAATTTCTCAGAGAAATGAAAGACAAATTATATAATCGCTCTTTATTCCTGAGGTGTAAACTATTACTGATGTCTTTCTGCCTCGATACGACGATCGATATCATCGTTTTTAATCACGTATTAAACATGTTCAACGGTACAAACTGTTAATTGTCTTTGTTTTGCCCTTTTTCCCCCCGTGCAGCTGGTGGAGGAGTACGCCTCTCGCTGGCAGGTGCCGCTGCCACAGCTCAGGATCCTCGAGACGTCTCTCCGCTTCTTCGCTCAAGCCTCCACCTTCTTCACGCCGAACTGCGACCACGTGCTCCACACGCTCAGTAGTCTGGCCTTGTAAGTGCACAGACCTCCCTACGATCTAAAAATCTTAACGCAGCGCTGTAATTTTAAAACTGTGCCCAAAAGATATCGTCTATCTGAGTGCAGCAGCGACATATGGGAATGGTTTGTCGCCACTCAGGTCAGGTAGGGTGAGAGCAACATGTGGTTATCAGTGAAGAAAGTAGACCGGGCGAGTCTTTTACTTTGTTTTGGTTCCTGCTTTTGCTTCGCTGTCCACATTTCACATTGGTTCGATTGTGAGTGAATGAATGAAACCTTTTATTGCCTCTCAGAGAACAGAGATGTGCCCTTGAATAAGCACATATAAAACATCCCACACACCCCCCAGGGAAGAACACACTACACTTTGATGAGACCGAACGTGTTATAAAGTAATCAGGGGAAAATAACTTTAAATAATTTACAGAGTCATCACAAAGGAAAAAGAACAGGGCGGCACAATTAATCTAAATATTACAGAAATTACGATATGGCCACGTGCAATATGCATTCGCAGGAGCTGCAGTTTTTCTTGCTAAAGATAAAATGTGTGACAAAACAGCTTTATAATAAAGTGCTGCAGAGACGTCGAGCCTACAAATCTTCCTTTCCAGATCTAAGAAAACATGATACAGACCCGAACAAACGTCACATAATTGTGATTTCGTTTTTTTTTTTTCAGTGAAAATGTGAATGCAGAAATCCTTCCCACTAATCGTAAATCATATCACATCATTTTTTTACCACGTCGTGCAGGCTTACTACAGAAAACAGTGAGAATATTACACATTATTACACATTAAATAAAACCTTCTTGTTTTTATATATTTGTCACCCGCCTCTGAAGTAGTCCTGTATATTTGGGGACAGTTTGGAAGTTTATTGTGTTCGTTGGCTTGTGCGACTCGGTTTGCGAGCCAGGAAAAAAACCCTTGGCTCGCTGCCAGCTGTTGACCCTCCTCCATCCTGCCTCCCCCAGGGTTTCCCCTCAGCTTCCCTAAGTGCATTCTTCTACCTCTTTATCACACTCACTATCTGCACATCCACACAGAAAATGGATTTCTGTGAATACTCAGAAAGGAGGTTTAAACAGGTTTTAAAAAATGTGTTTTTTTTTTGTATTCACAGGAGTATTTTTGAGCTGCTGCTGTTCTTTGACCAGAAGGACTTACACCAGGAGCCACTGAAACAATTCACTGTTACATTCCAGGTGAGAAGGAAGTGTAGATAAAATGATCCATTGTGTTGATTATTTAAAACTCTTCATATACATTCATTGATGTGCACTTAAAGAAACCTTTTTGTGTCCTCGCGCTGTTTCAGGAATGTCATTTGGCCCTTGCGAGGCATCAGAATGTGCATTTACTTCAGGTTGAGCGTTTGGTTCGGGGCGGCGGACCGTGGGCCTGCCCAGCCTTACAGGCAATCCTCAGTGACTCCAGTTTACCTCAGAGTGAAGGTAGGCAACATGGTTTACATGTGTAGCATGCCGACGCTGTTTCCTCTCGTTGTCTCAGTGCTTATCCTGAAAATATACACTTCTCCTTGTAAAATCTGCAGGCAAAATACATTATTTATGTCTAATGTTGAAGCATAAACCAGAAAGTTTGACTCCCAGTATGTAGCTGACTTGGATTGCTTCTCCTCCTTGTTTTTCAGTTGTTTGATTCCTGCTATAAACCGTATCAAAGTCAACTAAAACCGTATCTGTCTGTCTTCTAATCGACTGTTTTTCAGTGGATGAGTGCGTCAGCTCTGAGCCGCCGGTGTTCTTCGAGCTTCGGGTGCGCTACCTCTTATCCTGTGAGCGGGTCAGTGAGGCTATGGCCCTGGCTAAGTGTTGTGCTTGGCATCCCACAGCAGGACAACACTTGTTCTTCCTCCAGGTCTACCTCACGTGGCTTTTCAAAACTTCACAGCATGACAGTCTACACAAAGAGGTGGGCGTACTGTATTTTAAAGACTAGCAGGTCTGTTAAATGGTGAGAGTTTTCACTTCAGTCTGGCTGCCGCACAACTAAGCCAGAATTTTCTGTACGAGAATCTTTCAGGCGAAACTAATCCTTCCACTGTCCTGTTTCTCAGGTGGCTTACTTTAACGGTAAAGATGCAGTTCACATCATCTGTAGTTTGGAGAGTGAGGAAAAGGATGAGGTGCTACTGGCCCTCAGCAGAGCCTTCCTCTCCCAGCAGCTCCACAGGGGAGACATGTCCTATTTGTGGTAAGAAAAACTGTTATTCTAATGTAATGACAAGTCTGTTTATAACCGAGTCGCACATTTATTTACTTCCCATTAAGTAAATTTTTCCTTTGCAGTGATCTTGTCTTCGTGTGGAGTAAACTTCATAGTCGGTTGAAAACATCCAAGCAGGCTCTGCTTGAGGAGAGTCGTCAGCTGATGCTGTCTGCCACCAGCGTCAACTCGATCTTCCCTTTCATCAGAGCCATACTGCAAGAAGTGAGAGAGAAATTTAAACCGCAGTGTATTCTCATTAGATTATACTTTTTTTTTTTTTTAATTTCAGTAGATTTACGGTGTGAGAATTTATGTATTTGTGTATTCGATTGAATATTTAACAAGTCTGTTTGTGTCTCTCTAGCTGGGTGAAGACGGTATCCAGTTCTGCGTGGAGCTTTGTGCTAATGCCCTGAAGTCTTGCCTTCCCTGTGACGTCACCACCAAGTCTCTAATCTACAAAACCATTGCCGGCCTGCTGCCCAACGACCTGGAGGTTTGCCGAGCATGTGCTCTGCTCATCTTCTTCCTGGAACGCACTGTTGAGGCCTACAAGTTGGTGTACCTGCTTTACATGCATCCTGATCAGGAGTACCACGTGGAGTACAGCCCCATCAGAAATCAAGTTCGCTTTGAAACCCTACAGGTAGAACACCTTTTTGACGAAGAAAAGGCAAAGTTTAGATTGTCAGTTACACATGAGCAGTATTTCCATATTGTAGTACCGAAACATTTTCTTTTCTGTCTCTCCTCAGGTCTTAAAGAAGGACTTGTATTTCGACCCAGAGTTTTGGAACCTCATTGCTTTGCGGACCAACTGTTTGAAGCTGATGAGTGAGAAGGTGGTCAGCGCTGCCCTCGAGGAAATCATGGAGGACAAGTGGATCCTTAACTATTACACCAAAGAACCCGCTCTCCGATCGAGCACATCAGGATGTCAGAGGAGAAGTAAAGGGGCGCTTCAGGCGGCAGCTAAGAAGCATCGTCATAAAGAGGATACTGACACGGCATCCAAAAGATTAAAGGTGGGCCCAGGTAAAACACGGATGAATGTTGACCACGCTGTAAAGAGGAGAGGCAACCATGGATCGCGGCCTTTGAAGGACACATCTGAGCCTTTGAGGCGTTCATTTTGGCAACTAGACCGACTACAGGACAACGGAGAACATCGACGCACTACACGACTCTCGGAGAAGAACCCACCAAAACGGAGGATTAGAAAACCCAAGTGGCTTCTGGAGGACTCAGGAACTCTTGGAGAGAATAACTTTCCTCCGAAGATCAAAAAGCATGGGTTGAGACATCAAAAGCACCTTCGATCTTCTGTGGAAAGGAGGTCTGAAACTGGTCAGATCAAGAACAATGCAAAACACAAACCTTCAGTTAACTCTCATTTAATGGGAAGGGAAAACCACAGCAAACACCAGAAAGGGTTTTCCACAGACTGTTTTAATCCAGCCGCCCCTCCACAAGTCGTTCTTGAGCTCTCCCTGCCAGACAACGAACTGATAGGTACGTTTACTGAGGACACTTGCAGCAGGCCGAGAGGGTTCCCTCAGGTGCTTCTTTACAAACCTACAGTGAAGGTTCCTGCTACACCGCCGCCTATGAAGACTGTCCACCGTAAAGAGGTGATTCTTAGAGCGCGGGATGCAACTATGTTTGTACAACAGTTGCACTGTTACGCTCGGCGCCAGAAAGGAAAAGGCACCGGGTCCAATATTCAAGGCTCGGTGTCAACAATCACACGGTCCTCTGTGCAAGTAAGTCCTCCAAAAGATCCAGAGAGAGAGCTCTCTGAAAAGTCTGCTGTTGAGATGAGAGTCACTGTCGCTTCACAGACGCCCGCAAAAGCGACAGAATCTCCAGTTTTACATAAAGTCCCTCAAGCTCAGAGCGCAGGAAAAGTCTTACACACCCTCACATCGACAAGAGAGCTGCCTGAAAAGTCTGCTACCGAGGCATCGGCAGAAACCGAAGTGACAGAAGCCCCGATGTTGGATAAGGCCCTGCGAGCTCAAACGAGGGAGCTCTGTGAAGAGTCTGCCGTGGAGATGAAAGTCACTATAGCCTCACAAACCCCAACAGCGGGTAAAGTGTCTCAATCCACAGGTTTAGAGAAGGTTTCTAAAACTGTAAAAGACCTGTCAAAAACCACAACTTCAGCTGAGGTTTTGCAGACTTCAACTGGAGACAACAATCAGATGGTCGTCACTGAGGAAGTCCGTCCAGTCTCAAATAAAGCCAACACTGGAGCTGCTGATCCCTTGGCCTCACACTCTCAAGATATTGTTCTTAGAGATGAGAAACGACTTGAACTGAAGTCCTCTCGGGCTGAAACTGGTGCTCCAGAGGTCACCACTTACACACCTACAGATCAGGACAGTATAAATGACATATCTGCTCTGACATTAGTAACAGAAATGGTTACTGAGCTTGCACCCGAGACACTTGCTCACAAACACCCAGCTGCTGAAGACAGTGCTTCCAAAGAGTCAAGAACTGGGAGTAAACCTAAAGTTCCTCACAACTTACACGCTACCTCCAGCTGCTCTGCACCAGAACTGGGGGCCTCTGCAGTTGATGATGTGCGAGGGAAGAATGAGGAAACTCAGGATACTTTTCCAGAAACCCATGAGAACGGTGAACCTGTGGAGTCGGAGGAATCAAAGTTGGAGTACTGCTGTACGTTTTGTAACAAGGTTTTTAAGGGAAGTCGTGTCGTAGCTCATGCGATGTTCCATTACCGCAAAGACGAGTGCATGTTCTGCGGGACGATGTTCAAAGATGACCTCCTGGCCATGATGCACCTGTCTAATCATATTGAGAAGCTGAAGAAAAGCAAAGAGTCAGCTGGTATCAACGCCCAAGAAGACTGGGACTTTGAGACCAAAGATATCACCACACCTAAAACCTCTGCCAAAGCTAAGATCACAGACATGTCTTCTGGGCGCCGTAGTCGTGGGAGACCTAGGAAATCTGGCGTCTGTCCTAAATCAATAAGCCTTCCAGATTCAACCCCATCTGGATCCAGAAAGTTGAGATCCAATGACAAATCAGTGGATGGTCGATCTTTACAAGAAAAGAAACAAAACTCATCAAAGCACCTTAATAGTAAATCTCCCGTTAACAAGGTAAACGGGCATATTGTCAAAAAGACGGAGCTTGACAGATCGAAGAGCACGCAGCAGCAGATCTCTGAAGAAAGAACGAGTGATGGGGACGAGAATCCCAGGTTGCAAGGTAACAAAGATCTAGAAATGGATTGTGCAGCGTCAGAGTTCAGCTGTTCCACCGGCGACAAAATGAAGGAGACAGAATCTCTGCAGGTCGAAAAGACGACCGCAAAACAAGACGGGAACGTTTGTGAAGAGAAGTATGCGTCACAAGAGAAAGTCCGCTGTCCTGTGGATGGTTGTGCTTGGTTTACAGACCTGTCAAAAAACCGCGTCGCGCTGCTTTACCACGCTCTCGAAGATCACTACGGTGAGGTCAAACCTCTGGAACTGGCCTTCCGTGTCGGAAACAGCAGGTGTAGTATTTGCATGAGGGTTATGTGGAGTTTCGAACATTTTCAGCACCACGTTGAAAGACACAGACTCAGTCCTCGGCATCCCTGCCTCCATCTGGGTTGTACTGCCAGGTTTAAAAGCGGAATGGAAATGAGACGCCACGCCAGGAGGCACAGTCCGCTGCAGGCAGTGTGCTGCCTCCCTGGTTGTTCAAAGCTATTTATCTGTCTCTGGGCACTGAACCTTCACGAAAGAGAGCACTACGCTTCCAAACCGACTAAACCAGACAAGAACACAAATGAACAAACGGGTGACAAACATGATAACTCACCGGCTGGGAAGAAACAACCAGATCACAAGCCCAAAGATGAAACCGCTTCCAATACTGTAACTAAGACTGTGAGCGTAAAGGCTACTCGTAAGTCAAGAGGACAAGTTACACACAACTCATCAACAGGAAAACATAAGGCTCCTCCTCCCACCACCGTCAGAGCGTCTCTGTCAAAACAAGGGCCGAAACAGGCCGGTGAGACCAAGGATTCACATGTTTTGAAGAATCTTTCTAACAAGGACACCTCCACACAGCCTGCCGGCCCTAATCTGAGATTGAGGCACACGTTAAGGAAAGTTAAAGGAACAAATATATCCCTGGCACCGCTCAAAAGTCACAAAGTCATCTCATCGTTGTTCAGACACAATATCAGAGTGAGACATAAGTTCAAGAAAAAGCAGGTCAAAGTAAACACTAAAGGTCCCAAAAGAAGAGGGCGTCCTCCTAAGTCAAACAAAGAGGTGCATGATGAAAACACTACTACTGGTCAAAACAATGAAACCGTCAAAGAGAAGACCGATCAGAGGAGCCCCACTCAGCTCACAAGCCCCTCTAAAGCAGCAGAGACGTCAAATGTGAGCAAGGCGTTGAATGAAGAGCAAAAGAGTCAGCGGGTCCAAGATGTCTTCAAAACTACTGAAACACCAATCAATGAGTCAAAGTCTAAAAAATCAGTTAACAAGCAGATTAAGAAGAATCATGTTAAACAAAAGGGGGTCTTGCATAACACCTCTACACCTATTGTGACGTCGAACAGCGTAAATCAGTCAGTTGCCACCTCGGCAGACAAAACACACAAGAAACTGCATAAAGCGAAAAAACGCCCCGCTCCGAAAGAAAATGGGAGTCGGGCTGCTTCTTCAGACTCCAGCAAGTCAAAGAAACACAAGGTTACAGATGGCAAAGCCAACAGAGAGATTAAGAAAAAATGTCCTGTCAAAGAACCAGAGTCTGCCTCAAAAAAGCCAAGTAAGTCAAATTCTGTTGTCCCCCAGGTTGAGCCCAAAGCTGCAACCAGAGAAAATTCTGCTGATGAGGAGGGAAAAGCGAAGGCAGAAAACAAAGACTCCACACAAAACTGCTCTGGTAACACTGTGCCTGCTGTCCCAGCCAACACTTTAAATGAGATAATTGCACCACCCACCACCTCAGGAGACAAAACGCAGATGGTAACAACAGAAGAAAAGTCAAAGAAATCACACATTACGACGAAAGAAGGAAAGAAAGAGAATAACACATCTACTGCTTCTTCAGACTCAGGCAAGACAAATAAGAAGCACAAAGATGCTAATAAAAAAGTCACGGAAAGACTGCAAGTAACAGAGGAAAAGTCAAAGAAATCACACGTTACAAAAGAAGGGAGGAAAGTAAAGAATACTGCTTCACACTCTGGAAAGACAAACAAGCACAAAGATACTAACAGTAAAGGGGACAAAAAGAGGCGGCCTGCTTTAAAAAAGTCTGCCATGTCAAAATCTGTAGACCAGCAGGTTGAAGCGAGAGCGGCAGCGGGAGAGAGCTCACCTGACGTGGAAGGAAAAGCAAAAGAAGAAGCCTTACATGCAACGCTTGACAGCTCCGGTTCCTCCGTTCCTGCCGCTACAACTGGCGTCTCAAATGAATCTCCACCCACCGAAGAGAACACGCAGAAAGAAAAATCAAACAAATCTCATGTCAAGAAAAACTCAGACCCCAACAAAGCGAATAAGAAGCGCAAACTTGTTCATAAAGAAGGCGACACGAAGACTGTGAAGAAGAAATGCAAAGATCGGGGCGCTCCATCGGCGTCCAAGAAGCCCGCAAAGTCACAAAGTACGGTCAAAGCCGAGGTAGTGGCGAGCTCTGTAGGCGAGGAGGGAAAACCCTCGGAGGAACAATCTGCGGTTAACGGCGCCGGTTACTCTGTGATGATGAACGGGCAAGCAGCAACTGAAGATGTAAAATCTACAGTCTGTAAGGACGCTCTGGCAGAGTACAGTAAGAGGCCATACATGCGTCCGCCGCCGACGGCGTACCTGGATGAGAAGTACACCACCATGCCCAAACGGAGAAAGGACGTGTCGTTTTTTCACCCGTTTCAGAAAACCTTTTCTCCCGCGCAGGCCAAGGTTACAACTACAGCTCTGCAGAGACAGCGATGTGCCAACTGTTTCGCTACTTTCAACAGCGCCGAAGACCTGCAGAGTCATCTCCAAGTGCAGAAGTGCTCAAGCCTCTTTGGATTCGACTCTGACGACGAGGGTGAGTCTGATACTCACACACTACTATCAGGCCTGTGAAGCAATGGGTATGATTTTTTCCGACTGTTTTCATTTGTTCTGTAGGAGTGCAGTGAAAAAGTACCAAAAAGTACCATTCACAACCTTTGACAATAGAAAACTGACCCAAAACATGAATTTTTATAGTTGTTGTCCTGTATTTAGTCCAATAAGGTTATAATAATGAACTTAATTCAAGCTTCAATCTGTTGTCATTCATCTCATTAATGTGTTTTATTTATCTGTTTCAGGCAACAGTTGAACGTGTCTAATGAAGTCTAAGTGAATTGACATTTGGGATGCACAGACTGAGCTGGATGGAGCCTACCTCCACAGATCAATGCTGTCTTTGAGGACTTGTTCGTGGCTGCGGGGGGCGATGACTCACGGACTGGGAGACTGGAAAGGGTTACCTACAACCCGATCAATAAAACTGAACTGGATCCCAGTCAGAGTGTGAGGAGGACAGCGAGTACTGAAGTGCCTGCTCTGGAACCGCCGTGCTGTTTCCAGCTGCTTCACCTGGTTTGGAGGTTAAGCACCGTGGCTTAAAGACTGAACTCTAGAAAGCTGTGAAAAAAATACTGACGCAAGATGACAAGGCTGCTCCTGCTATCATAATAGGATACATATTTTTCACATCCGTAAGCCATAAAATGCCATTGTTTGCTTTTTGCACTCTTCTCATAAGATTTCTCACTTTCTTTCTGCTTAAACTCTCAAAGAGTGATCGGATTGTACAACGAATGAAACATCTTGACGCTGTTTTAACACCCTACGGTTGCATATAATTTAGATTGAGTTTAAACTTTTAAAAAACTGTAAGAATGCTGTATAATCTTTTGGGATTTTTTTTTTTTTAATGTGTAATTCTTAACATACTAATTGTATTTCTAATACAAAGTTCCCTACGGGGTTGATTAGGTCTGTGCTTGTCCTCACCACGAGTAACCAGTAGGGGTCAGTGTGCACCAATCTTTTTGTTTTTATGTGAACACATTTGCTCTTTTTTTTTTTTTGCCACAGAAGGATTTTCTACACACACGGCTGCTCCACTGTATTTATCACTGTACAGACTCAAGAAAATGGCTTCACTTCCAATCCATCAAGCTGTATTTCCTTTTAGCAATAACAAACACAATGTGCCAGTATCCCGCTAATACTTCTCTGGATTCTGTCACCGATCATGTTCTCTTTGTTATTCGCCGTCAGTGGAGCAGCTCACATTCTCGCTTATATTATGTTTTCTCACTTAAAACGTTTTTCAATTTTATCTTTACTGAACGGTCCAAGATCTGTTGAGACATTGTGATTTCTTTTTTTTTGAATCTTACAAATTCACAACCGCAGTTTAAAGTGTTACTAGGGGGGGGGAGGACGCCGCACCGATCTCTCACGAGCAGCAGCAGGTTATATTTATTTATGTTTTATTTTCTATCTTTTGTAAATATTTGAAGAGTTTCAGTGGCTTATTATATAAAAATGGGGTGTCTGAGCCGGGTTTATATTTTGTTCTTGGAGAAGGAAAAAAATAAATCATTTCAAATGGCATCAGTTTTGTTTGGCCTTTTCCAGTGGCGTCCAACACACCAAAAGAAAGTGCTTTAATCAAGAATGAGCAGTTTTTATTCCAAAAGTAGGAAATAAAACGCTTCACCGCACTGGCAACAGATGAGACGCGGCGGAGTTGGACAGTGGGCTGCAGAGGAAGAGAAAATATTGAATTATGTCCCAGATAGATCGCTAACTCACAAGATAAATCTTCACCTCTGCCAACTCCAGTCTGTGTCACCTTGCCAGTATTAAAGTTTGGAATTCAGCTACTTAAAAGGTAAAACCAAGGAGGGGAATCCAATGTGTGCGTGAAACGATCATCACCATCTTCAGTCTTTAAGATGCAGTTTAGAGTCTTTCCTTTTTAAATACTTCAGATCTGAGCATTTGACAAAGCAGCGAGGCAGAAAATGTTGCAAGTCTCCCTGATTATCTGGATTGGAAGAGAGGCACAGAAAAGGCGGCCAATCAAGAGCAAAAATGTGTTTCTCACTTTGATGTTTGTCCATCGCTGCAGAACAAGGTAATCTGAAACATACCTGTACACCAAACCAACCACACACCTGACAGCTTTCATTACCGACAGTAATGTAGAGGTATTATTCTCACCTTATTGAAATATGTGAATTCTAATCCCATTTATCCCTGATCTGAAAAGGAGCTGAGCCCACACTGAGCTGCACTCAGATGACCTGGATTTCCACCAACTGTAGCCTCGGGCTCAGACTCTCACTGCCTGAACCTTCACGGACATTTCAGGGTAATTTTCTGGCAACATGAGCACAATTTCTAGAGAATGGCATGTAGCGTTACTTGTGATCATTGTCGGTAGAGCTGTAGAGATTCTTGATCTGACTCAGTTCATGTTCATATACAGAAATAGACAAATGTTTAAAAGTAGGCCATCTCTAACTGATGACTAATTACTGTTCAGCCATTAATCATGCACTGTAATCAGCTAATGATGCAGACAGACCAGACAAAGATCAGGCAGACAAGTGTTGAGGCAGTTCGACAGGCAGACGGTCACAAGGGCCAGACAGAAATGCGATCTCTTTGTTTTCCATCTGAGTCAATATTGTTTATTGTGGTAGGGAGGGAGAGACTGCTGAAGAGGAGGGAGAAGAAGAAACGGGAGACCACAGGAAGAGTCAAGTTCCCACCCACAGGTCTGTCTGTGCGTGCGGAGGGGTGGAGGTACTTTTCACTGGAGTGTCATTTGAAACACGAGCAACGTAACGTGCATTTCTCATCCTCCGGTTGCCAGAGAGTTAACATGCAATTGTGTTGGGTTTTTTTTTGCTTTTTCTTTTCTTAAAGGAGCAGTGACAAAATTTCAAACCCATTTCAATGTATTATCATTATTACGTGTTTTTATCTTTCTGGAAATTTGGGGGATAATAAAGACATGCAGTTACATTCCACAATAACACACATATTACATGTAATGTTTTCTTATAGCTGTATTGTCCATCAATATGTAGATACCTGCCACCAGACCTGGGTGATGAAATATACAGAAGATATAAATGAACAGTTGAATCAATTATTTAAAAATACCCCCAATGCTCAGTTCAATACATTCAGGGCTGTTGCTGCTACAGCCTTAGCACCTGGTGGCTAAACATTGTTGTATAATGGATGTTATTGAGTCTCCTACGCTCGTGCTACTCTTACAATGATATACAGCAGTTCTCTAAACAGTAGTTTAGCATTTAACATAGCCACATAGTGTACCTTTAAATGACAGAACAATATGTTAAACGTAGTTATTTTTGAAATACTGGGACATTTTCACATAGTTTGGTTAGTGGATTGTCTAAAAATTCCTTTCAGGGGTTGAGTTCTGCTGGGGGAAATTGAATTCATGTCCTCAGTGTTTTATTTTAACACGATAAAATGATTAAAAGAGTGTTATGTGACCAATATTTTGACTATAACATACAGAAGAAGATAGTTTTTCCTCACCGATTGCTCTCAATATACCCTCAAAACATAATATTCAGCATTAACAAAACATATCTGACAAGACTTTTAATCAATACTTCAACACTACTTTAAATATTTAATAGTGGCATGACAAACGAATCAGTTTCTCTCTACAATCCATAAAGCACAAACACTGCAATCATTTCGACCCTGCAATAAATCTTCATCCAAACATTTTGTGTATTTTTGAGCCATAAAATCATTATTTTATCTGTGTCTAAATGAGCTGTTGATGATTCTTGATGATTCTTTTGCAATGCAAAAAATGTACAATTAAAAACAAATTCATAATAATTAAAACTGCTTGAGCACAAAGACATGTAAATAATTTCATTCCAAATAATATTTAGTTATGATTGTGACTTAAATACAGTATTTTACAACACGAGTCCATCTTCAAAATACCAGTTTTAAATATGAAAAAAGATTTAAATATTTACAAATAATATTACTTAAGAGTGTGTGAAGTTAAATTACTAGAAGATCTAGACCTGTACCCAAGTGTTGGACCGTCGGCTGTGATCGGATTCAGCCACGTATGAGTGAAATCTTCAAAGAGCAGCACTGCAGTAGAGGCAAGTAGGAACGGGAGAATATAATAGCTGTTTGGGAGTGTTTAATTGAACGGGGTCTGGCATTTGACTTCAGGAGCCGCACCAGCTATGAGCTTAGCATAGACGCAATCTGTTAATTAAACTCTGTGGACCACCAATAAACACCATCACCATTTCCAGCTCCACTAAAAGAGGGTGTGCGAGGGCCCCGGCAACATCACATGACATGATTTATATGGAATAAATCCTCTCGCCCTCAAACATCTCATGACTCAAGTTGCCTACAGCTTATTTAATCTTTTAATAAAAAAGGCATGGAGTCTGGTCTGTTATTATTCATTCCACTTTCCATTTCACACAGTCACGAGCCGTGTCTCTGCAGGTCGTGCTTAAACACGTTGCAGCAGGAATGAGTCTCATTGGTCCATCCCGCCCCCTTTGCTGTCAAGCTTTCCGGCGCCCTCCAGGTGCGATTGGTCGCTCCCAGTCAGGATCACGTTATTAGGCCAACACATGGACACTCTCAGAGAGTCAAATATCTCTCCTCACTTGGTCCCTTTGGCTGGGATGACTCCACTTTTGCTCGTTTCGCTGCATACGGGTGGCTGATTTGGCCCTTTGTGTTTCACTGGGAAGCACTCCCATCCTCCTTTGTGGTCAGAGCACAGACAGCATTAATAAAACTCCTCAAGTGCTGCATGTACTCTGTTGTAATCCAGTACATGTAAATGTGCAGTTCTGCCTTCCTGCCCTCCTGGCAAGAGGCACTTCCTCCCTCTTGCTCCCACCTTTGTTTTCAGGCCAAAAGATTTCTGGCCTTGTGTTGAAGGGCGATAAATGGCGGCATCCGCAGTCTCCTCGCTCTGTGCCTGTGATTGGTTAATTCCACTTAGGCCTCATGAAGTTGGGGATACACTGGCAGACCTGGTGGCTGTAGTAAAAACCAGTCTGGCACACTGGTCTGGGCTTTCTGCAAGGCAACCTGTAACAGCTGGACCGGGGAGGACGAAGGAGGAGGAAGATGGGAGAGAGATGGAAAGAGGAAGAGGGAGTAGAAAGAAGACAAAGGGTGGAGGGAAAGAAAAGGGTGAGGTTGAGAGGAACCGAAAAAAATAAAAAGAAGACACAGGAGATTATATATTAATCTTGGCATGAGTACTATTGATTATTCTGATCTTCACATCCCTTTTGGATAAACCCCGATCCAAGTTTTGTTTGTGGGTGCATCAAACGGTTCTGTGTGTGAGAAAAAGAGGGAGTATTTCTCCAGAGAGGGGGGGAGGGAGGGAATAAGGCCAAATTCTGGGAACTATCCTCTTCAAAATCACAGTAGGTGTATGGTCTTCTGTTGTACCACCTCCTGTGACCAGATGTTGAATCAAACGTAAAAAAATAGACAAAATGATGGAAAAAGGACAAGTAAAAGAGTTGTGCATGCTTGAATAATAACGTCCCACACTGCTTTATCTGTATTGAAGAACATTGCACTAGCTAAAATCCACACTTCACTTTCTAGATACATAATTAGTCACTTCTATTCATCAGTGTGCACCATTAAAACGTACATTAGTCACTGTAGCATTACAAGCTGTAGCGTAGCTTTCGGGGGGCAAATGAACTGCTAATCCTTTTATAAATGTAGGTATTACTTTGTTTTGCTTTAAAAGTGCATACCTTTTAATATGTCTCTTTTTAGAGTTAGTAATATAGTTTCAAATGAGCGGGAAATGTCTGTCTAATTAATTAGCTAGGTCAATTAGCAGTTAGTTTGGTGTTAACTAGTTTGTGTGGTGGAGCCTGTTTTTGATATATAAATCTACATAGTGTACTTACATTATAACTAATAAGTTTAAAGAGCACAGAAGCTGTAAAATATTCTAATTTTACGTCGTTTTTCTTGGTAAAAAACTCAATTACATAGACAGACAATGAAGTCTTCTTTATTTCAGCCCTGTTAAGCTGAGAAAGTTAAGATACTCTGCCATCAAAGGTCACTTGTGTGTGTGTGTCTGAACTTTCCCACATATGTAAGCCACGATTAGAAATCACTCATATCAAAGCTCATGTCTGCTTATGTTTTTCCTCGTGCCTGTCACTCCATCTGTCTCCGAGCCTGTCCGCCTGCCCCCCGATGGCTGCTCTGCTCACTGTCATCAAGTTCAACCCCTCGTCTCTCCCCTGTCTGTCTCTCTGCAGGCCTCTTTGGGTCAGAGGAAGGTTGATCTCTTGCGTGCTGGCTGTGGGAACCGCGACACGCATGCAAAACACACACACGCAGCTGAGACCCCGGATGAATGTTTAGGACGCCGTGTGTCCATAAAAGGTCATATGAAAACATGTGAGCGCACAAAAAATGCTGAGTTTTTCTCTTTTTTTTCGAGTTTGGAATGTATGACATGTCCATCGAGAGTTTGCGTGCTTTCTCCCTCTTTAACTGCCTTTCTCACTCTTTTTCCTCACCCCTTCCTGTCTCACAGAGGTCCCAGGGTGAGGAGCTGTGATGGCACCCCGAGGGCCAACCAGGCCACTCTGCACCAGTTCTCCCGCTACTGGTTCAGATAACTGGTGACTAACTGGCGTGCAGAAATGGTGCAGTTGGTAGAGAATTTAAAGGTGCATTAAAATCAGTCTTTAAACACTTAAGTGGAGATTTGGTGGTACTGATACTACACAACCTGACTTATGTCTTTTAATAACACATACAAGTCATTAAGTTCATGTAACGCAGGAACTGTCTTGTAGCAACAGCTCCAAAACACTAAGTTGGAGCTTTAAAGAGTGAATCAGTTCATCAGCACTAATATGAGGAACAGCAAGAGTGACACACTAACCACAGACTTTGGTTTGCCACGTAATAAACAGTAATTATCAAAGCACATAAATATGCAAATTATCATTGTAAAAACCAGTAAAAACTTGCTCTGAATTTTGTCTTTTTTTGCCCAGACACTGATTATCAGTGTCCAAGAGATCAGGCCCTCTTTTGGCCCTAGACCCCCATGTTACATCACCTATTGCTGCTTAAAAATGTTAATGCTTCTATAAAAGGAGTTTGAGTGTGTCTAGACCACATATGGTAGTCACTGTCTTTGTGCAGCGCAGTACGGCTGTAAAACGTCTGGAAATTTACTTTAGGTGATTTTTATTTTACGCAACTGTGGAAGTCAGAAAAGAGGATCTTATAAATTCAAATGAATTGTTATGACTCAACCTGGAAACCAGAGATTCATTCATAAACACCATTTTCCGCCTTTCAGATGCTGACAGAGGGGAAATATAGTCTTTGACATCATTAAGATTGGTTACAAGAAATTCCTGCTGCCACAAATGTAAAAATGTATTAGTAAAGGCTATACAGCGTTAATGTTGTTGCCTACACAGAAGCGAGATTGGCTCAGTGCACAGGGGGTTCTACGAGTTAAGAGTCTAGTTGGCCCGAGACTGAGAGTGTGGATACTTGGGATAATTTAATCTCCCAAAGGAGACATTCTCTCTCTGCGGGCTCCTTTCCACAAGGAGCTTAGAGTGCTGAGCTGAGAGAGTTTTGGCAGGATCCTGGGGGCCTTCTGGTATGCCTACCTGCAGGTGTTGGGGTTGAACCTCTTGCCCTGCCGCAGACACGACTGCGCACTCTCTCTGCACTGACACAGGCAGGTGTCTGGGTTGAGGGGCTGGTTCCCGGGACACTCTGCAGCACACACGCAGCCGCACAGCTCCTCGTCCCAGCGCTGGCCAGTGGGACACAGCTTCCCCTCGCCTTGGCCTTCACACTGGCATTCACCTGAGAGAGGAGAGAGTAAATCAGATATTGCATTCTGTACTTTCTGTCGGTGCTAAGTATTTGGTGGTCGGGTTCTGACTTGTTGTTCAAAACTTCCCCTATCTGTGTTTATCCTTACTGGCTCGATCTTGCCTGGTTGTTCCCAGAGTGACAGCCCTTTCCTCAGCAGTTTGGTGTATGTACAGTAAATGTGAAACTAAGGCCAAAGGAAGCTAATGAGAAATTGTTCTTTTACCACTTCTGGCGTCCCTGTTCAGGCTGTGGTCTAGACTCTGGCGTTTTAAACTCTGTGTCGTGTGAACTATTTCCAATAATTGAAACCGTCCTCACAGTTTTTGTGGTCCAGTTTCCAGCCTGGATCGCAGCTGTCCTCGGTTAGTCCATTTCGACAGACGCAGTCGCAGGTGGAGTCATCCAGAACCCTGTTGGGCCCACAGAGAGCCAGCAGACCTGAGTCCAGCGCCTCTGGATTCACATGGAAAAGAAGTTAAAATGGTATTTAGTTGTTTTTCCAGCTTTGTTTTATCTTTCTGTTGATGTTAATACTGGTGTATCTCAGAAACTACTGAATACATCAAGGTTGTACAAATGTTCTCCAGAGGATAAAAATAACTGTAGGGATCCCCTGACTTTCAATCTAGCACCACCAACAGATCAAATACCTACATAACTAACAACATCAGCCTCAGTTGCACTTTGTTTTTAGTGCTAATTAGGAAAGTTTAACATGCTTACAGGCTAAACTAAGATGGGGAACCTGGTAAACTTTACGCCTGCTAGACATCAATGTCTTAGCATTTAGCTCAAAGCAAAGTACGAGTTTGTAGAGCCGTGATAGCTGTTGACTCTTTTAGCCTGGTTTCAAGAATACCGAAGGGCAAGTTGCAACAGTACTTGGTGATTAAAGTTGTAGAGAATCCAGCATTTTCTTTTTTATGTTCTCTTTGTGTAAAAGAAAATACATTTTCTATTTACATTCATCAGAAAGGTTTTAAGCACGATTCCCAGGAAAGGTCAATTTGAAACGTTTGCCCTACTATGTCCAAAATGTTCATATATATAATTTGTATTCGTAATCATTCAGACTCTTTCCCAGTGATATCTATTTTCAGTCTGTGATGAGTAAGGTTTCCCAGTTCATTATTAAAAAAGAAAAAGTAGCTGTACACACTGTAGTTTGCTGCATGATTGTACAAGTAAAATGCCACAAAGACACTTTCACTTCTCACATTACTCTTGAATAAACATTCCCTCTGGGAGAAGATGTTTCAGATCATCGTCAGATATCATCATCATCATCATCATCATCACGAGTTTTTGAAAAAAGAAAACGAACTGAAATCTGGCTCACATCCTGAAACATGCTCAATTAAGGTGTTGCCACATTTGTTCATGACTGTGCACTTTGGTGTTTTCAGTGCAGCTAGTTCACAAGGCAACAGCAGGACAATATCCACTTTTTAAAAACACACTTTTATAAATAAAAGCATCATTTTATTATTATTATTTTGTGCACTCCACACTGCAACAGGGGGTTTACGCTGTGTAGGGACGAGATTGTGCAGGTTTTCACTCCAACCAGCTGTGCAGCAGGTGGTTTCCACTTCCATCAGTGAAATCACCTGGTGTTGTGTTTGTTTGAAGGTTAAAGTCTCTGCTGTCTGATCCTGAACCTGCTGCTGTATCATCACACCATCCAACCGCTGGTCTGACGGCAGTATTGTACCAATGAGGTAAATCCTGTCAAACTGTTGTATTTACGTTGTGCATGTTTCTCTTTTGACATCCTGATCTCAACCCTTTACTGAGGTTAAATTTGCTTTAAATACTTAAAGTTATAACAGTAAGTTTCATTTTCCATTCTATTTCTTTTCGTATCCATATCTTTATTGATTTTGAAAATGATACATCATGGATCGTCTTTTATTCCAAGTAAAGTCCCTGAATGCTTTCTTAATGCTGGAGAAAAAGGCTGGAGGACGTGTAAGAGGAATTGACTGAAATAAATATAAAAATTTAAGGGAGAATATTCAATTAAATAATAATCTGCCAATTAATATGAGTTTTTTTAATTTATTTATTGAAGTATTGGATCAGGACCCCCAAATGTTCTGGTTCACAACCTTCTCAGTCCCCTGTGATTCATTTGACTGATTTCAGAGGCCAGAAGAGCTGAAAGTATCCACTATTTCACAGGAAAACCAGCACAAATTAGAGAAAGGTCAGGAAGAAAACTGGGTATAATAGAAAAGTCTCATCTTAAAACCCTCTTCAGGGTGCACACTTACGAGTGTCAGAGTAGTTTATGGTGTCTGTGGAGACGCACACACAGTTCACTGGATCCCATAATGACCCAGAGGCACAGGGAACTTCGGGTGGAGAGCACCTACACACACACACACACACACACATAAATATATTACCAATGCATAGATACAGGAAACGTGACTCAGAAATGTTTTGTAAACACTCTCACTCACAGGTGATCTGTTGTGGCTCGTCTTATGATGGAGTGGAGCTTGCGGACGCACTCACACGAAGTGTGGTTGACGAAGGTTAACGTGAAGTAGGGACTATCCATCCTGGGCGGGGACAGTTTCATCAGCTGCAAGAACAAAGAAGAGAAAGGTGTGACTGTAGATTAAGTAAGAAAACAGTTCATCTTTTTCTTTCTCCTTGTTATTCTGCTGCTCTGCTCTCGCTGAAATATTGCTGCTGATGTGTTGAAGTTGATGTAATTGTTGTGCAACTGTGTGCGTGGCTGTGTTGTGTTGACTCGATGTCCAGTTGCAGCCAAAGGGCGTCCACTGCAGTTAGGGCGGGTTGTGATACAGTTGTTACATAACTGGGCAGATTGGTTTCTGTCCTCTTTTCTGGAGCAGTTTGAGGTGTAAGGACATAATCGTGTAACGTGAGCAAGTGTTGAATAATTCAAGAGCTAAAAAAAGTGTCTTGAGAATCCAGCTGCACCGCTTACCGTCTTGTCGACAAGTGTGTGACTTGTATTCGTGCAGTAGTAGGCCTCGTTGTTGCAGCATCCGCCACACCGATGCAGCGCCACGCAGTGAGGGCGGTAGTATTGACTGTTGGATTCTGGGTATTCTTTGGCGACCTCAACACACACCTCTCTGGGCTGGCATTTGGTTCGCTGGAACTCCTCCAGGATGACTGAAAACATATGTGACTGAGTGGGTTTTGCTTGTTGATACAGAGAGCTTGACTTTATCTGTTATTAGTGGTTTTTGGGTGATGGCAGGAAGTCACCAACCTCTCTAATCACGTATCTAGTCCTCATTTTCCAGTCTTTGTTTCCAGCTAGGCTTCTTTTCTCCATTTTCTGCATTTACCACCTACTTTTATCTGTCTCCAGTGCAATAAAATCTGTCTGGCAGTCCATTTTAGAGTTTTACCATAATGTAGACTGGCCTGCTATCATTACAAATTTAGATTTTTTTCATATTTACGTGAGATCTTAGACACCAATGCTCCAAATATTGTAGGTATGACACATGTTGGAAGTGATCTGGCTCTGTATAGACTTTCACAAATGTAGCAGTTGATCTACTTTTTAGGAAATATTTCAATCTTTACCTGCAAAATTCCCGTCAGCTTTGTAAAGAGCCTCCTCCCTCGGATGACCCCACAGATCCTCACTGTTAGAGTGGACTAAAGGGCTTCCTGAGGAGGTGGGAAAAGAGGGGGAAGAGGAGGAAGAGGAGACGTGCCACGATTTCTTCCTCAGGCACTGCTGGAGCAAGCTGTACTCGGGGTACAGGAGCTGTAATAGCTGATCCATACTTGTCACTGTCTCCAAACTGGGCTGGTCATCTGACAACGTTGGATTCTGAAAGACGGGAATCATATAGATAAATGTGACTCCAAACGTTTCCACATCACAAAGAGGGGAACGAATAGGAGATACAAAGATACAAAGAGACTGGAAACTTGCATTTGGATCACAAGTGACCACTTTTTAGACCCGATATCCTTTGTAGTTATCAAATACGACAGAAATGCTTACAAAAGCTTCTCTTGTTATATTTTGAAATGTTAGAATTGAAGGCGGTTGTGTTTTTTGGAAGAAAACTATTACATACTGTAGAATTTACTGTGTAAGCTTCGCTGGTTTGAGCTGGATAAACAGTGAATACCTCAGCAACCAATGTGTTGTAACATGTTGCTGTTGGCTACTGTTAGTTATTATGGGTACGCGCGTCCTCTCCTCACCTACACACACACACACATTGTTGCATTTAAGTACACAAGGAAGCTGTAAAGTCTGCATTTTCTTTACACTTTTCCGTCTTTTTGTGTGGTTCCCTTTTATTGAAGTTCGACCCTCCCTGCTCTGCTGCTGCAGTGCCGTTGAGTGAATCTGACTCTTTCATCTGTATTTTCTGTATTTTTCTGTCCTTTTGGATGTTGTATCAATCAGTTTTTTGGACAGCCTTTCATGGTACACTCCCATAATGTGCTGTGCATGACCAACCTCAAGTCTCCTACGTAAGAGCTTCTAAAGAGTCCTTAAATGCGGCATTAACCCTACTTAAATCACCCAAACAGAAAGCCACATTATTATTATTATTATTGTTGCACAATGTGGGCTTTATGTGGTGCACCAGGTCCATGCAGGAAATCTCAGTTGACAGTAGATATCGCTCTATAAACCATTCCTGCTGTGAGTCATCCCCATAATGATTTTTCTGCCGTCATTGATAGATGACTCTATTCTACTCTGTGGAAATACAGTAGATGAAAGATAAAATGTTAATTGTGTAACAGGCTGGCTGACGGAGGACTTGGTATCATCTGGAGGGACTGAATGTCAGCTGGGACATGTGAGTGTCACAGATTAATTCCTCCAGGGAGCGAGGGTGGTTGTTTAGTTTCCCAGGCTGAGAAGGAGCAGACTGGTACAGCTGGCATTACCTAAACAGAAACCAGATCTCTGCCGCTATCAGTCTTTCCATTTATCTCTTTCTCACTCTCTTTCTCTCCCCCTCCCTTTCTGTTTCTTTCAATCCATCTCATCTGTCTCAGCATATTTCTGTAATTTTTGACAGAAAAATAAGTTCTGTTAGTGTCTCACAGATGTTTTTATTGTGCTTTATTCCTCTTATGCTCTCCTGTTCTTTATTCTCTGTAACTTCTACAATCCCTCCAAAACAAAAATTGTATTTAAGCAAGATCTAATTAGAAGTAAAGTAATAAGTGATGCTGGATGTGAATGCCTGTCATTGCTTTTCAGGTATGGTTGGTCTAAAACAATGTATTAGTGATAGTAAAACTATCAGCGAATCACCAATAGTAATAACAGTCTTCCTGAGGGACATTCAATTCAATTCGTTCAATTAAATTTTATTTGTATAGCGCCAAATTCAATAATGAAATCAGACAAAAAGGTCGTCATAACAGAAGTTATCTCAGGACACTTTTCAAATAGAGCAGGTCCAGACCGAACTCCCCATAACATTTACAGAGAACCACAGTACCACCATGAGCAAGCACTTGGCGACGGGTCTCTAGCAAATTTAATGTCAATCCATCTAATGGTATTCGAAGCATTTTCACTCAAAACCTAGAGGAAAAGTCAGGAAATTCATCCTCTGGGAATGAATTTATGATGATGATATTTCAGTCTGGACCAACTAACCTGAAGCTAATAGCGAAGGCAGTGACTTGTGGTTGTGTGAGTAAAAGAACCAATGTAATGACTTGGAGTAGAAGCTATAAAGTTGCCAGCTGTATTTGAGCCACGTTACCACTGAAGCCTCCATAACTCTGTGAAACATGACTTTTAGTAGTAGTTAGTTTCAATAAGTGGAAAACAATAACCAACTTTAAGGGTCAAGGGTTTTTCTCTCTCATTAAAGTACCTTAAAATGAATTGCTCAAGCGGATAATAACCAATAGTACACTGCTATATTGGAGAATCTCTACGGAGTATTGTTGTAATTATACACACTGAACATGGATTCCTCTCTCTTCCTTTCAACATCTTCCCAGAGTTCCTCTTTTTCTTTTGGTCTCTCTCTCTCTCTTTCTCTCTCTCCCTCTCTCCTTTTGTGTTGTAAAATGATCACGTGACATGAGGTCATCGCTGTGGGAGTATGAGGTCATGATGGACGAATGACCATCATCAGATACTTCTGGCAGACATACACACGCACAGGCACACACCCATGTATTTGTCACTTACTCTGTCTTCCTTGATTAACTTCTTATGTATGAAGCTATTGTTGTGTACAAACACACTTTAATTGTCCTGTTTAACAGTCGATATTCCACTTTGCCACTTGTGGATGCAGCTATAACATCAATAAATGAGTGAGTAGCATGAAACACTGCTATTAAAGAGATTTTTGACAAGGAAGCTTATTGTGTAACCACAGAGAAACTTCCACAGAAGAACTCATCTGCCAGGATTCAGCAGAGCTTGAAACTGAAAACCAGATAGTTTCCTGGCTGGCTCATAAACAGCATTTACAGTAAAGTAGAAAGTGAATGACTTTTACACTGAACTGTGCTCATAGTATTATTTGAAATGAGGTCAAACAGGAAACATGTTTGGCACTGCTTTTATAACCTGGGGCTGAAAAGAGACCTCCTTTGATTGTTTCAATGGTCAACCATTAAAAAGTTTTTGGATAAGAACAACTACTGTATTGGGTTTTTGCCAGTTAATATAGTTGTTAATATACATTATTTAAATGTATATTTAAAGAAAAACCAACATAAAGCGCCTTAGAGATGATGGGAGGAACACATTACATAAATGTGGTTATACATGTGACCTTAACAATTATCGGCCTATATCTAAGCCTTCTAATACCTGTCTGTCTGAACTCCTAGGATCACTGGCCAACTCAGGCAAATAATATCTTCTCGCCACAGCAGCTTTAAAACCTGCTCATAATACAATAACTGCTGCAACTTGTGGACGACAAGGTTAACTCGCTTGATAAAAAGCAGCATTGTGCAGCGCTCTCTGTGGATGTGTCAAAGGCTTTTGATTGATTATGACAGAATCATGATGAGTGTGAGGCTCCTCAATTTAACCTCCACACCATAAATAATCGTTTTTTTGTGTTTTTGTGCAGCAGACAGGGAGCTTAACTTTGTTGTAGAATAATAAATAAATGAAGCCTGAAATGTTGCTAATTAGGTTGCTTTAGATTGGTTTTGATTATTCTGCTTAAATCTGGTTCAAATCATATGTGTCTGGTTTGGGCTGCTGTTGGTGTTCCACATGGATCAATTTCAGGTCCCCTGCTTTTTATTCTGCACATATACTGAATCTATATTCCTTTTCAATGTAACATTGCAATGTATGTGTTTATGCTGACAATACTATCTTGTGTGCCGTCAGCTCTACAGCAAAACAGGTCTTTTTATGAATTTAAAGCTTGTTCAAAGCTCTAAAAAGACAAAACGTTTGTATTTCACAAAGAGCACAGAGCTTTGATATTCCTTCTCTGATCTGTAATCCTCATTTTAATCTCAGACACATTACAGCATTATAAATGCTTTTTTTGTTAGACAGAAGATCGCCCTATAAAACCCTGAAAAGATTCGATTCTTAGACCAGAACAATGCTTGTGTCTCCTTACAAAATGGAAAAAAACTATCATCCAATCCATTATCCTCTACACTGGATTATAGAGATATCCTGTTGCCCATGCAGCTGCCACTACTCTCAAACCATTGGATGGATCATTGTATGACTGAATTGTCTCGTTAAGATGTTGTGTACACAGACTTTGTTTGTCAGGTCTCTCTTGTAAAGCGATATTGATCTCAATGAGACTTCCTGAATAAACAGTTTTTTTTTAGCTTATCTAACAGAGTTTCTTCTGAAAAGATTCAGTGTTTTTATAATGGGTGAGAGTGCAGCTCCAAAATCTCCCTTAGATGTTGTATTAATTGTGATCAGTAGTAGACACACATTTAAAAGCTGCAGAAGTTAGTGAAACTCCTCAGTGGTTTGGTCTAAAGCCAATGAGAAACAGTACAGGAATGTTTAAGTTCAAATGTGTTTTTACGGATGATGGAGAAATAAAATGTCTCACCTTGGTGCCCATTTCTCCAGTTTGGTAATAGTCCATATAGTCTTGTCCTGAGCACAAATTGCCGATATTAAGAATCCATAGGAGCAAAGCTGGTATCCACATAGTGAGGAGATAGAGAGGAGAGGAGAGGAGATGTCCGGACAGAGGAGGAGAAGGAAGTTGGTGAATTTAAAGCTGGATGTAAAGTGAAAGAGAGGAAGGAGGAGAAGAAGGTGGAGGAGTCTGAGGTGAAGGGGAGGAAAAGGAGGAGCAGGAGGGTATCACAGACTCGGCAGGTATCTCTTTGCTCCTCTCTTCATTTTATCCTGGGACGAAGTTGCTCTTCCGGCGCAGGTTGTTTGAATTTGGGAAACCAGTTGAATAAAACATGATGAGGAAATCAGTCTCCTCTTCTTTATGTCAAACACAGCTCCCTTTTTTTCTTTTGACTTCAGAGGAAGTCTTTCCTCTGGTCTCGCTGCGTGTCCATTCTCCCTGTTGATGTCAGGTGTCTGCTCGCTTCTTGAAGTAACTATTAGTCTCCGTTTGCCTTTTATCTCTTCAGCTTTTCTTCTCTCTGTGTTTTGTGACCTTCAACTTGAATTATTCCTCAACCTCGTGTCTTTTATTTGCTCACTCTCCCATGCGTTCCCTTTTTCTTTCTCTCTTGCCTTGGTTGTCCTCGTAAGTCTCTTCTCCTCGCCCTTCACACTTGTGCACCTCCCCGCTTTCTTTATCTATATTTTCTTTTCACACAACAGCTGTGCTCTTCCCTCCCTCTGTCTGTCTGTCTCTCTCTCTCTCTCAGTTTATTGTTGCCTCTTTATGTCTCCTGTTTTCTCCTCAGAAACCTCCAGGGCAAAGCTCCGTCTGTCTCTCTCTGGACTTTCTCTGCTTTTTAACCGCTTTTTTAAATCTGTCACAACTTTTTCTGACAGGCTGTCTGATCCTTTAGAAAAGCATCAAAGAGGGTGAGAGAGGAAAAAAAGACGAAGAGCTTATTCCAAATCCCAGAAAAGTGTCCAGCTTTTGGTATTAAGTTCTTGTCCTAACGGAGTGGATGTGCATCCTGCTCATCCTGGTGGAGTGAATGAGAAACAATGCAAGAATGGAAGGATTGTATCTTGTGGGCGGAGTAAAGTTTTGAAAGAGATGATTCGTGCCTTATAGCTTATTATACTGGTGCACACTCTTTTTTCCCTCAGAAATTGCAGGCTATGCA